ACCAGCAAGTGCAGCGCACTTAATATTGGAAGAACAAATACTTATAATGTATACAGCCTTAACAACATCAACCTAGAGAAGTCGACTTGTGAAAGAGACCTAGGGGTACTTATAAGCCCGGACCTACGGCCTAGAAAACAGTGCGTTAATGTTCGAAATAAGGCAAACAGAGTATTGGGTTTTATATCTAGAAGTGTAAGTAATAAGAGTGCAGAGGTCTTATTGCAACTATATCTTGCGCTAGTCAGGCCGCACCTCGATTATGCGGTTCAGTTCTGGTGCCCTTATTATAGAATGGATATCAATTCACTTGAGTCGGTGCAGCGAAGAATGACGAAAATGATTCCGGAACTTAGAAACCTTCCATGTCAGGATAGGTTAAAGAAACTTAACTTGCATTCCCTAGAAAGACGAAGAGTGCGGGGAGATATGATAGAAGTATTTAAGTGGGTGAAAAGAATCAATAAAGGGGATATAGATAAAGTTCTTATAATATCCGAGCAGGATAGGACTCGGAGCAACGGATTTAAGTTGGATAAGTTTAGGTTTAGGAGGGAGATAGGAAGAAACTGGTTCACAAATAGGGTGGTGGACGAGTGGAACAAGCTTAGCAACTTTGTAGTAAGTGCTGGAACTCTGGAAAGTTTCAAAAGGAGGCTAGATAGATTCATGGATGATAGAGAGTGGTAGTAACTCTCGACAGGAGCTGCCATGCACAGGCCAACTGGCCTATTGCAGACTCCTTATTTTCTTATGTTCTTATGTACTCTCGGAGAGGGAAGGTGTTTGTTTTTGTCGGGGAATATCAGTGTTGGTTCCAAGACGTCATTACTGGAGACTAGGTAGGCCGAGTGAAGGCAACGTGCTTAGATCTTCAATAACTACCATAAGAACGTTACAACTACACATCTAATCTTTTTCATCACCATGACAACCAGTCATATTCGCTTCCTCCTAGCTGGTCACACACACTACACCATTACTTAGCTCATTATGAGTGACCCTAGTAATGGTTGCACCCTTCATTACTCCCTCCCACGTCGTGCCCTTCCTCTTACTCTGTTTTATCCCTTTCTCACCATTCTTGTTTTTACATGTTTACGTTCATGTCCTCTTTATTCTCTTTTTTTGTGGGGGGGGGGGTGCTTCCACTTTTATTACTTACGTCTTTCCCCTTTCTTCCCAATTCAATTTAGTCTCCCTTCGCTATTTTCTTGTTCTTTCCCCTCTTCTCATTTCCCTTGCACCCCCTTCCCCACATTTTACTCACCTTCCTTATCATGTCACCCACATTTTCCATACCATTCTTCACCCCATCCCCTTACCTTTTCTTACTTATCCCCCATACTCTCCTATGCCTTCGTCTCCTCGTTGCCCTCCTCCCCTTCCATTGGCCTTCCATACCCCACCATAACAAGCGAATCAATATTACGTGTTGTCTCCCTAACTGGGATGGAAATCTTAGGTACAGACAGACCTGTGAGAATCTGGCAGCTGTCTTGTATGTTATGATAGAGGACCTCTTGTCCCTTGAGCCTCACAGTCTGCTAGGGTGGGGGGTGGGGGGGTGTCGACGACCTCTCCCGCCCCGGCAACACAGGGTACACTTGAAGCCTACCCAGACTTCTTTACCTGCCTGCTGGAATGTTATGTTTTCAGAAATTCTTTTACATAACAGGAATCGTTACGAGGCGTAGAGGGTCATTACATTTTGCATGCTGAATACAAATAGCTATTCTGTTTGCGTATGTGTGTGTGATAGTGGAGGGGGGGGGGTTATATTTTGCTTAAAGTGTAGTTTTGGCTTGGTTTAAGGAGATGGGTGCGTCTCAAGGTCACACAAGGACACGGTAAGGCTGTCTGGGTGTTTGTGTGTGTGTGCTTGGGTCCGACACGGTCCGTCGCTAGGTGAGGAAGGTGATGGGTACGTGTAGTGTCTGGTACGGTGGCGGCCTAGGGGTCACGGTAAGGCAAGAGTTTTTGTGCGTTTCGTTCGGGATTGAGGAAGAGCATTCCATGGTGTTCAGTAGTCATGTACTGGGCGTCATTGTTTTATGACTGGATTTAGGGTTCAGAGGCAGGTAAAATAAAATTACATATTGACACACAGGGAAAGAAGTAATGGACACGCGTGTGGGAACATAAGGTAACATTGCACGGTGGAGACGGGGGTAGGGTACAGCGTAAGGTAAGCCGGGTATAAAGTGAAGGACTTCTCATTGATCGCCAGCCGGGCTAGGGGGTGGGGTGGCAGTTGCTTGCCACAAGACTCCCCTGACCTTGGATTGCTGAGCAGCGGGAGGTGTGGTAGTCACGGAGCAACAAGATGGGTGGGTGCCATGGAGCAACAATGGGGGGGGGGGACTAGAATCAGTTAAAGGCTGTAATTCTCGTCTCTATAGTGTTTGGTTTGGTTAAGTACGGTCACAACTGCAAATTAGGTCAGGAAGCAAGTAGTGTCAGATAGGTAACAAAACTCAATATTTACCAATTACACTTTGTAAATTAGATGATCTCCCACCAATTACATTTCAGGATGCTATCATCCTGCCAAATAATGAAATAAATGTTAGGCCTCTCACCATTTCCTACAAAATGTCCTGGAAATCACACATCCTTAATATAGGTAATCTTTAATATAGGTAAAGCTGCCTCCCGAAAGTTGGGAATGCTGTACAGCTGCCGTAGCTACTTGACTCCTGAGCAGTTGCTCCAATTATACAAGGGATTCATTCGTCACTAACTTGGGGGTACTGCTCTCATATCTGGGGTGGCTCTTCTTCTGTCCAGCTGTTAGATAGGGTGGAATCAAAGGCATTTCGTCATATTAACTGTCCTCCTTTAGTCGACAATCTCTCTTCTCTTTCTCTTCGCCGCAATGTTGCTTTACTCTCTTTCACAGGTACTTTAACGGGCAATGTTCGGTGGATTTGGCATCCTGTGTACCGCCGGCAAGCCCGTGGGCTCGTAACACATGTCTTGCCCGCGGTTTCTCTGTGAATGTCGGTCACACTAGAATAACCCGTTATAGTACCTCCTTCTTTCCTCACACAGCCAAACTGTTGAATGCTCTGCCTTCTTCTGTGTTTCCATACTTATACAATGTCTCACTTTAAAAAGCTGGTTTTCCGACATCTTCGTGGTGTAAATTAACACACTATAACCTTTTTCTTCTCTATTTTCAATTTCTTTCCCCCAGGCCCCGTTGTGGGTCGTTTGACCTGTGCCCGGGTGGGCTAATTCCCGTAAAAAAAAGAAAAAAAAGGTCACATTGAGTGTGACGGGTCACGTCAAAGGTCAAATATCAGATTTTTTCAGAACTTAAAACAAAACTTATGATTTGGGAGGCATCGCATTATACGTCTGCTTCTCGCAAGTCCTTTTAGATTCAGCGAGTCTCAGCAGGTGGCAGGGGTATTCCTATCACGTGCAGGCCGGCAATCGGGAGGCCTAATCACAAGTCTTCCGTGAGCGAGCAGCTAGACTGACAACGAGCACTAACAAGCCTATTTTATCTTGGTGGTTGTGTAGAGGTGGAACAATGCAAGTGGAAGAGTGGTGCAAGGTAGCAAGGGAAGGGCTACTGTGGCTTATGTATTTAGGCATCAGGATGCCTCTGACGTATATAACACTTTCTTTGTCGTTCATAGTTGTGTCAAGGTTACGTGATGCGCTGGTGCTGTACAGGACACATCCCGCCCGCACCCATTCCTCTCACTTTCATCTGCTTTCTTTCCTGCCATTTCTTTCCATTGACCTATTCTTTTATTATCTAGTCTATAGTATTGATCTTTGCTCTCGTTCTCTCCCAGCGGCATCTAAACACCTTCCTTCTTCCCTCCTTTACGCCATGTTCTCGTCTCTTCCCTGTTCCCCTTCTTGACCTTCCTTTTATGTTGGGGTTTCTTATCTTTACTTCTTGTATCGCTTCTCCCCTCGATGTGAAGCGTTTGTCCCTCCCTCTCACCACTACCCCCTTCCATCAGCAGCAGTGGAAGGGCGTTGTCTGGAGTACTAGAAATTGGGAGGGAGTCGTGGGGGAGGGGGAGGAAGGAGGTCGTACGCTCCAGCTCGCTTCCAGTCTCACACAATCGATACAGCGCGTCTGGCTGCCCTCAAAACCTCTGCTAGGGAAAGAAGAGAGCGAGAGAGAGGAATGAGGCGAGGAACGAGAAGGTCGGAGAGGTACTTTTATTCCCTTTCCGCGTCCCCCTCCCCTTCTCCCTCCTTCGTAGCAATGAATACCGCATGTGCCTACTGTCGACCTGCAGGTCACGCATAGTTATATGCTTCCACAAAATAGGCATATACGTAATGGCATGCCGTATAAACCTTTTATTAATGTAAATTGAATTGAAACAGTTTATTTAGCCAGAAAAACACAGATATAGAGTGGATAATAATAACAATATTAACAAGGCTGAGCCAGTTGAGAACCTGAGTTCTCTTTGAGGCACCTGATATATACTATACATTTATCTCAAGGAAGTATTATGTAACATTTAGTATCATCTGGAATAGTACAATAGCATGGTAGTAATAAGTACATCTCATAGTGTTACCATTATGTATATTTCAATGGTAATTGCTTATTTATTTACATGATAATTTCCGATAAAACGGTTTTGATGGTACAATAAAAGTAGGTACTGTAAATATAGTAAGTGTTACAAGTATTAATACTTCGACAATAGATATTTTTTTAGAGATGATTTAAAGGAAGGGAGCGTAGTCTTTGCTCGGGTGTGTCGGGGTAAGTTGTTCCACACCTTCACAGTTGAGCACATTCTAGTGTTTTATTAAAGTTTGATTTTTTTCATTTGTTCTACTGTACATTGTGATTTTTTTCGTAAAAGTATCCGTTAAGCATGTATTAAATTCTCGTTTTTTTTACTTTTCTCTGTTACTTTAATATGAATAAGATTTAAATAGGCGAGTATTGAAATTATTAATTGTTGCAGTATTGTTGGCATTAACCAAATTTTTTTTTCCTTCAACAGAAGACGAAATCGATGTGGTGAGTGTTAAGAGTCCAGACCGTGCCCACACGGGCACTTCGAGAAGCACGAGCAAGAGGTACGGCGACACCACCTTCATTGCTACTACTACCAGCGGCGGCATGAAGAAGATCGTAAAGGTACGCACTGGAACGCTCCCTGCCAAGCCCTCCCGGCGGATGAGGAAGCAACTGCAGCAGGCTATGGCAGCGGGAGTCAAAAGACGGACTAATGGTGCCTCAGGTCACAACAGCGTTGTGCTTCTCCGGAAGGCTGGCGTTTCTACTTCATCCCTTAAGACACCCAAGCGACTTCAGAGAAGCTTAGGGTCACGGAAACGCAGGGCCCCTAAGTCAGACTCTGACGATCCCGAAAAGCGACAGATGCACAATTCACTGGAGCGCATGAGGAGAGTGGATCTCCGTAATGCCTTTGAATATCTACGGGTGTTAGTTCCAGAGTTGAGTGATCGCGAGAAAGCCCCCAAAGTGGAAATCCTGAAGAAAGCATCTGACCACTGTCACGGTGTTTCTGTAAAAGAGCAGACTCTTATGCACGAGAAGGAACGGCATAAGCGGTACCACAATGACCTAAGGAAACGGTTACTTGCGTTACAGAGACAACTACGCTAATTAAATTGGTTTTAAACTTTTTATTGTTAGTCAAATTAGATGGAGGTGGGGCAAGCCTGAGGGTATACCCCCAGACCACAGTGGTGCCTGCATAAGGCTTTGGTCGCACTGGTGGTCTCCCTTAAGTTGAAATGTAGAGTAATACGGTATGTAATGTGTGTGTATTTGCGTAAGCTCGGGGCGGCTTCTCGCTTCTGGAGTGTTTACGTTACAGTTTATATATTTTTTGAGTTGAGGGAGGGCATCAGTGTGCTCTAGGCCTTTAGCTTAATATTTTTTTAGAAGGGGTTTAGTGTTCAAAACTAGGCCTCAGACAAGCTTGTTATGTCCAAGGACGAGTGTAAACGTATTAGCAGCAGCACAGCCCAATGCAGCTTGACCTGACTTCTTTTCATTTTATGAAAATAGTTATGAAGGATCTAAAGGGTTTAGCGACGTCTTACCCAGCAGCTGTAGTTCAATTTTTTTGTGGACTTGTTATTATGGACTTCGGGGATGTACATGTGTACATAAGAGATAGGCTTAGTAGTCTAATGTGTAAATCAAATGTGTGTACACAAGTTGAATATTAATTATTCTATTTAGTATTTAGGGTTTGGTCACGGACGTACCTTTCTTCAGCAATCTGTGTGTGTTGTACGTGCAGGGAGCTTGTACAGTATAGATTACCTACCAATTATTTTGTGATATATGTATGATACACTGTATATCTTGTAGTGGCAGGGTAGGGCAGGGCAGGGCCTGGCCGAGGGAGTTATCTGGCTCAGGTGTAGTGAGGCGGTGTATATGCGCACGTCTGTGGGTACTGTCACTCTCCGTGGGTGCTGTCGCCCACACAATGGTGTCTAGAAGAAATTCATTCTTGGGTGATATATTTATAGGTCATGGAGATATGTTGTCTTGTGTAAATATTTTTGTTTTATTGATTTGCTACAATTTATATATTCATGTTTTGTTCTAATTTGATCACACTTAACTGGTTAATGTTGGTAAGTTATAATAATTGGTTTCAAACCGAGTTACTGATTAGCTCTATACTTGCGCTATTTTTAATATATAATGTAGTTACTATGTGTGCATTTAAATACATAATTTATGCATTTTCCTTGATGTCCACGTCATGATCATATTGACCCCATAACAAATATGTTAAGTTTAATGTAAATTCCACTAAAATAAACTTCCGGGTATCATATAGCTTAGTATGTAAAATGCTATTTTTTTTTATTATTGTTGTTATATGTCCATTATTTTAAAAGGGCATGTATATGTTGCCATTTTGTGTAGGAGAGGGTTGCATTGCCATGTAGGCAAGAACTACATACCACTCGGTCTACCCTTTGTGTTGCCATGACTAGAATTAAGGAGAGGTAACTTGCACCGTATCCTCCACCACCAACACACCTTCCGGATATATCACACCTCAGACATTACGTCCATTTAAGGAGTCCCCGTTTGTTGCCAGTTTTTTTAACCCCCTGCCCTTCTCCATTGATAATCATCATCAAATCCTTTATACATCATCCCTCGCATAATCATTATTTATCTCCATGCCATACATTTACAGTATATCATCATCATCACTATCGCCATTTCATGTGTCTTTGTCGTTGTTACCATGTGTAAAGTTATCGCGTGTGTTATGTGTTCTCATTCATCTGACTTACACACTTTTCATTCATTGTTGTTACATTCATTCTCATTTTCATCATTCTTTATAGTATATTTTCCCTTTTCTTCCTCCTCCTCCCTGTCACTTAAAAAGACGCAGTGGATGTTCCTCATATTTACATCCACTCCCACCATCATTCCTCGCATTGAAAGTTAGTTAATCAAGCCCACAGCTCCAAACTGTCCTAATTATTAACCAAGAGCCAGTAGTTGAGAAGTTTGCAACGTGAATGTATCATTATGTTTCGTCTCACCAAAGGGTTAGAGAATATCCCGAGTTTTGTTTATAATCTGGGGGGCAAGTGTGATCTTGCTGCACGAAAGGGCATTATACCTTTTGTTAAGCTGTAGTACATCATTAGTTAAATGAACGACCTTTTTATTTTTCAGTCTCGGTAGATCACGTATTTGTTTTTGTGTACGAGGCTGTCTTTTAAATGCCTTTTCAATTTTATTTGCCATTGAAATTGTTTATCACTGGTAAATGTATACATTTCATGTATTGTATATTTGGTATTTAGATGTTTTATTTGACTTTTTTTACCACTAGTTATTATGTATAGTATACAATGTACAGCAGATGTGTTGTGAGGAATATGGGCCGGGCACTGTCAAAGATTTTGTTGCTGTACCTTTAGGAATAAAAGTACTCAAAACAGTGGTAGATAGATAGATAAATGCTTTACACCACCGTCCCCAACTCTCCCTTCTCAGGCACTGGCTCTCTCACTTGCTTCGTCAAGAGCAGGAGTATAATCATCACTGTTTTTGCTATTTGCTCTTCAGTATGCCATATTAAGTATTCGTGTGAGCAAGTACCAGAGCATAATTCAGAATTTGTTCCGTTCCTTTCACTAACCGTTTTTTAGGTACAGTAAGCGTGACTTGCATTTAATTTATCGTGAATGGACACCAGCAAAATTGTAAATATCTCTTAATATTTTAAATTGAAAAGTGTAAGGTCAAAGCTACTGCATCTGATGAGTTAATTGAGTCGACCAAATCCTAATCAAGGAGCCAGTGGCTATAAATCACCCCCCCAAGTTTATTAATGCTGTGCGACTGTCCCCCCCCTCATTCACGTTCCCAATTATCATTTGACCCAAAGTTTATATTTATATATATATATATATATATATATATATATATATATATATATATATATATATATATATATATATATATATATATATATATATATATATATATATATATATATATATATATATATATATATATATATATACACACACACACACACACACACAATACGTATGCCTCCCTCAGTTTCTGATAGGGAGAAAACTCACATTTTTTACATGTTAACTACCACCCTAGGTCTTAAGGAAATAATAATAATTACTGCTCAATTTTTTCTCAACCCAGCATTATTTTTGTATGAAAATGTTTCAAAAAATATCTAAAAATATTTATACGGCATAACTTTTTCGAGATGTGCCACCCACCCAAGCAAAGTATGTTATGTCCCATCAAGTTAGTTATGGAGAGATAGCGAGAGAAAGAGTTCTGCCTTGTTTAATATAGGATATTTTCTACAGCCATTTGTCTTATTACAGTTCAGAAATAAATAGGCAAATTTTTTATCTTGTGTTAATTTTCTAATGCATATAAGTAGAAACCATTTTATTTAGTTTAATCATATGGGACGATAATTATCAACGAGCTCAGGTTTGTAATCCTTTACCGAGTTCTTTATTAAAGATTTATTATAAAATGTGTTTTATATCCCTCCAGTATATATATATATGTTCACCATGGTAGAATTATGTCGTATCAATTGATGTACGGACATTCATGAATTTTTTTAGTGAAAACTGTGCAACTCCACAGGGGGATCCATAACTTTACAGAGGAACATCGTCATCTATAGTGACAACTTTACACTGACCCCAGCTATTGGTGCTAATCAGAATTTCATAGTGCAATCTCTGGGTGCAATTCACAAGCATTGTGCAATGCAAGTCAGAACTTGATACAACGCATCTATGGATGTGATTAACAGACTCCACAGTCCCTCCATGGGAAAGTAGATTATCGACTTTTCGTGGAAGTAGATTTTCGACTTTTGGGAAATATTAACACATTTCCAAAGTAGATTATCATAGAAAACGGGAAATTTGTATCACAGAAAATGTGAAATATTTCTACTTTCTGGGAAAGTTGGTTATCTACTTATCATAAAAAACGGAAAATTTGTATCATAGAAAATGGGAAATATCTACTTTCCGGGAAAGTTGGTTATCTACTTTCCCGAAAAGTAGATTATCTACTTTTCTGGAAAGTAGATTATCGACGTTTCATGGAAGTAGATTATCGACTTTTGGGGAAATATTACCATATTTTCCAAAGCAGATTATCATAGAAAACGGGAAATTTGTATCACAGAAAATGTGAAATATTTCTACTTTCTGGGAAAGTTGGTTATCTACTTATCATAAAAAACGGGAAATTTGTATCATAGAAAATGGGAAATATCTACTTTCCGGGAAAGTTGGTTATCTACTTTCCCGAAAAGTAGATTATCTACTTTTCTGGAAAGTAGATTATCGACTTTTCATGGAAGTAGATTATCGACTTTTGGGAAATATTAACATTTTCCAAAGTAGATTATCATAGAAAACGGGAAATTTGTATCACAGAAAATGTGAAATATTTCTACTTTCTGGGAAAGTTGGTTATCTACTTATCATAAGAAAACGGGAAATTTGTATCATAGAAAATGGGAAATATCTACTTTCCGGGAAAGTTGGTTATCTACTTTCCCGAAAAGTAGATTATCTACTTTCCCGAAAAGTAGATTATCGACTTTTCGTGGAAGCAGATTATCGACTTTGAAGAGATTATCGACTTTTGGGAAATATTACATATTTTCCAAAGTAGATTATCATAGAAAACGGGAAATTTGTATCACAGAAAATGTGAAATATTTCTACTTTCTGGGAAAGTTGGTTATCTACTTATCATAGAAAACGGGAAATTTGTATCATAGAAAATGGGAAATATCTACTTTCCGGGAAAGTTGGTTATCTACTTTCCCGAAAAGTAGATTATCTACTTTTCGGAAAGTAGATTATCGACTTTTCGTGGAAGTAGATTATCGACTTTTGGGGAAATATTAACATATTTTCCAAAGTAGATTATCATAGAAAACGGGAAATTTGTATCACAGAAAATGTGAAATATTTCTACTTTCTGGGAAAGTTGGTTATCTACTTATCATAAAAAACGGGAAATTTGTATCATAGAAAATGGGAAATATCTACTTTCCGGGAAAGTTGGTTATCTACTTTCCCGAAAAGTAGATTATCTACTTTTCTGGAAAGTAGATTATCGACTTTTCATGGAAGTAGATTATCGACTTTTGGGGAAATATTAACATATTTTCCAAAGTAGATTATCATAGAAAACGGAAAATTTGTATCACAGAAAATGGGAAATATCTACTTTCCGGGAAAGTTGGTTATCTACTTTCCCGAAAAGTAGATTATCTACTTTTCTGGAAAGTAGATTATCGACTTTTCATGGAAGTAGATGATCGACTTTTGGGGAAATATTACCATATTTTCCAAAGTAGATTATCATAGAAAACGGGAAATTTGTATCACAAAAAATGTGAAATATTTCTACTTTCTGGGAAAGTTGGTTATCTACTTATCATAAAAAACGGGAAATTTATATCATAGAAAATGGGAAATATCTACTTTCCGGGAAAGTTGGTTATCTACTTTCCCGAAAAGTAGATTATCTACTTTTCGGAAAGTAGATTATCGACTTTTCGTGGAAGTAGATTATCGACTTTTGGGGAAATATTAACATTTTCCAAAGTAGATTATCATAGAAAACGGGAAATTTGTATCACAGAAAATGTGAAATATTTCTACTTTCTGGGAAAGTTGGTTATCTACTTATCAAAAAACGGGAAATTTGTATCATAGAAAATGGGAAATATCTACTTTCCGGGAAAGTTGGTTATCTACTTTCCCGAAAAGTAGATTATCTACTTTTCTGGAAAGTAGATTATCGACTTTTCATGGAAGTAGATGATCGACTTTTGGGGAAATATTACCATATTTTCCAAAGTAGATTATCATAGAAAACGGGAAATTTGTATCACAGAAAATGTGAAATATTTCTACTTTCTGGGAAAGTTGGTTATCTACTTATAAAAAACGGGAAATTTGTATCATAGAAAATGGGAAATATCTACTTTCCGGGAAAGTTGGTTATCTACTTTCCCGAAAAGTAGATTATCTACTTTTCTGGAAAGTAGATTATCGACTTTTCATGGAAGTAGATTATCGACTTTTGGGGAAATATTACCATATTTTCCAAAGTAGATTATCATAGAAAACGGGAAATTTGTAGCACAGAAAATGTGAAATATTTCTACTTTCTGGGAAAGTTGGTTATTATAAAAAACGGGAAATTTGTATCATAGAAAATGGGAAATATCTACTTTCCGGGAAAGTTGGTTATCTACTTTCCCGAAAAGTAGATTATCTACTTTTCGGGAAAGTAGATTATCGACTTTTCATGGAAGTAGATAATCGACTTTTGGGGAAATATTAACATTTTCCAAAGTAGATTATCATAGAAAACGGGAAATTTGTATCACAGAAAATGTGAAATATTTCTACTTTCTGGGAAAGTTGGTTATCTACTTATCATAAAAAACGGGAAATTTGTATCATAGAAAATGGGAAATATCTACTTTCCGGGAAAGTTGGTTATCTACTTTTCCGAAAAGTAGATTATTTTCTTTTCTGGAAAGTAGATTATCGACGTTTCATGGAAGTAGATTATCGACTTTTGGGGAAATATTGCCATATTTTCCAAAGTAGATTATCATAGAAAACGGGAAATTTGTATCACAGAAAATGTGAAATATTTCTACTTTCTGGGAAAGTTGGTTATCTTCTTATCATAAAAAATGGGAAATTTGTATCATAGAAAATGCGAAATATCTACTTTCCGGGAAAGTTGGTTATCTACTTTCCTAAAAAGTAGATTATCTACTTTTCGGGAAGTAGATTATCGACTTTTCGTGGAAGTAGATTATCGAGTTTTGGGAAATATTAACATATTTTCCAAAGTAGATTATCATAAAAAACGTGAAATTTGTATCACAGAAAATGTGAAATATCTACTTTCCGGGAAAGTTGGTTATCTACTTTTCTTGAAAGTAGATTATCGACTTTTCATGGAAGTAGATTATCGACTTTTGGGGAAATATTAACATATTTTCCAAAGTAGATTATCATAGAAAACGGGAAATTTGTATCACAGAAAATGTGAAATATTTCTACTTTCTGGGAAAGTTGGTTATCTACTTATCATAAAAAACGGGAAATTTGTATCATAGAAAATGGGAAATATCTACTTTCCGAGAAAGTTGGTTATCTACTTTCCCTAAAAGAAGATTATCTACTTTTCTGGAAAGTAGAATATCGACTTTTCGTGGAAGTAGATTATCGACTTTTGGGGAAATATTTCACATTTTCTGTGATACAAATTTCCCGTTTTCTATGATAATCTACTTTGGAAAATATGGTAATATTTCCACAAAAGTCGATCATCTACTTCCATGAAAAGTCGATAATCTACTTTCCAGAAAAGTAGATAATCTACTTTTCGGGAAAGTAGATAACCAACTTTCCCGGAAAGTAGATATTTCCCATTTTCTATGATACAAATTTCCCGTTTTTTATGATAAGTAGATAACCAACTTTCCCAGAAAGTAGAAATATTTCACATTTTCTGTGATACAAATTTCCCGTTTTCTATGATAATCTACTTTGGAAAATATGGTAATATTTCCCCAAAAGTCGATAATCTACTTCCATGAAAAGTCGATAATCTACTTTCCAGAAAAGTAGATAACCAACTTTCCCGGAAAGTAGATATTTCACATTTTCTGTGATACAAATTTCCCGTTTTTTATGATAATCTACTTTGGAAAATATGGTAATATTTCCCCAAAAGTCGATAATCTACTTCCATGAACAGTCGATAATCTACTTTCCAGAAAAGTAGATAATCTACTTTTCGGGAAAGTAGATAACCAACTTTCCCGGAAAGCAGATATTTCCCATTTTCTATGATACAAATTTCCCGTTTTTTATGAAAAGTAGATAACCAACTTTCCCAGAAAGTAGAAATATTTCACATTTTCTGTGATACAAATTTCCCGTTTTCTATGATAATCTACTTTGGAAAATATGGTAATATTTCCCCAAAAGTCGATAATCTACTTCCATGAAAAGTCGATAATCTACTTTCCAGAAAAGTAGATAACCAACTTTCCCGGAAAGTAGATATTTCACATTTTCTGTGATACAAATTTCCCGTTTTTTATGATAATCTACTTTGGAAAATATGTTAATATTTCCCAAAACTCGATAATCTACTTCCACGAAAAGTCGATAATCTACTTCCCGAAAAGTAGATAATCTACTTTTCAGGAAAGTAGATAACCAACTTTCCCGGAAAGTAGATATTTCGCATTTTCTATGATACAAATTTCCCATTTTTTATGATAAGAAGATAACCAACTTTCCCAGAAAGTAGAAATATTTCACATTTTCTGTGATACAAATTTCCCGTTTTCTATGATAATCTACTTTGGAAAATATGGCAATATTTCCCCAAAAGTCGATAATCTACTTCCATGAAACGTCGATAATCTACTTTCGAGAAAAGTAGATAATCTACTTTTCGGAAAAGTAGATAACCAACTTTCCCGGAAAGTAGATATTTCCCATTTTCTATGATACAAATTTCCCGTTTTTTATGATAAGTAGATAACCAACTTTCCCAGAAAGTAGAAATATTTCACATTTTCTGTGATACAAATTTCCCGTTTTCTATGATAATCTACTTTGGAAAATATGGTAATATTTCCCCAAAAGTCGATAATCTACTTCCATGAAAAGTCGATAATCTACTTTCCAGAAAAGTAGATAATCTACTTTTCGGGAAAGTAGATAACCAACTTTCCCGGAAAGTAGATATTTCCCATTTTCTATGATACAAATTTCCCGTTTTTTATGATAAGTAGATAACCAACTTTCCCAGAAAATAGAAATATTTCACATTTTCTGTGATACAAATTTCCCCTTTTCTATGATAATCTACTTTGGAAAATATGTTAATATTTCCCCAAAAGTCGATAATCTACTTCCATGAAAAGTCGATAATCTACTTTCCAGAAAAGTAGATAATCTACTTTTCGGGAAAGTAGATAACCAACTTTCCCGGAAAGTAGATATTTCCCATTTTCTATGATACAAATTTCCCGTTTTTTATGATAACCAACTTTCCCAGAAAGTAGAAATATTTCACATTTTCTGTGATAAAAATTTCCCGTTTTCTATGATAATCTACTTTGGAAAATGTTAATATTTCCCCAAAAGTCGATAATCTACTTCCACGAAAAGTCGATAATCTACTTTCCAGAAAAGTAGATAATCTACTTTTAGGGAAAGTAGATAACCAACTTTCCCGGAAAGTAGATATTTCCCATTTTCTATGATATAAATTTCCCGTTTTTTATGATAAGTAGATAACCAACTTTCCCAGAAAGTAGAAATATTTCACATTTTCTGTGATACAAATTTCCCGTTTTCTATGATAATCTACTTTGGAAAATATGGTAATATTTCCCCAAAAGTCGATCATCTACTTCCATGAAAAGTCGATAATCTACTTTCCAGAAAAGTAGATAATCTACTTTTCGGGAAAGTAGATAACCAACTTTCCCGGAAAGTAGATATTTCCCATTTTCTATGATACAAATTTCCCGTTTTTTATGATAAGTAGATAACCAACTTTCCCAGAAAGTAGAAATATTTCACATTTTCTGTGATACAAATTTCCCGTTTTCTATGATAATCTACTTTGGAAAATATGGTAATATTTCCCCAAAAGTCGATAATCTACTTCCATGAAAAGTCGATAATCTACTTTCCAGAAAAGTAGATAACCAACTTTCCCGGAAAGTAGATATTTCACATTTTCTGTGATACAAATTTCCCGTTTTTTATGATAATCTACTTTGGAAAATATGTTAATATTTCCCAAAACTCGATAATCTACTTCCACGAACAGTCGATAATCTACTTCCCGAAAAGTAGATAATCTACTTTTCAGGAAAGTAGATAACCAACTTTCCCGGAAAGTAGATATTTCGCATTTTCTATGATACAAATTTCCCATTTTTTATGATAAGAAGATAACCAACTTTCCCAGAAAGTAGAAATATTTCACATTTTCTGAGATACAAATTTCCCGTTTTCTATGATAATCTACTTTGGAAAATATGGCAATATTTCCCCAAAAGTCGATAATCTACTTCCATGAAACGTCGATAATCTACTTTCCAGAAAAGTAAATAATCTACTTTTCGGAAAAGTAGATAACCAACTTTCCCGGAAAGTAGATATTTCCCATTTTCTATGATACAAATTTCCCGTTTTTTATGATAACCAACTTTCCCAGAAAGTAGAAATATTTCACATTTTCTGTGATACAAATTTCCCGTTTTCTATGATAATCTACTTTGGAAAATATGGTAATATTTCCCCAAAAGTCGATAATCTACTTCCATGAAAAGTCGATAATCTACATTCCAGAAAAGTAGATAATCTACTTTTCGGGAAAGTAGATAACCAACTTTCCCGGAAAGTAGATATTTCCCATTTTCTATGATACAAATTTCCCGTTTTTTATGATAAGTAGATAACCAACTTTCCCAGAAAGTAGAAATATTTCACATTTTCTGTGATACAAATTTCCCGTTTTCTATGATAATCTACTTTGGAAAATATGGTAATATTTCCCCAAAAGTCGATCATCTACTTCCATGAAAAGTCGATAATCTACTTTCCAGAAAAGTAGATAATCTACTTTTCGGGAAAGTAGATAACCAACTTTCCCGGAAAGTAGATATTTCCCATTTTCTATGATACAAATTTCCCGTTTTTTGATAAGTAGATAACCAACTTTCCCAGAAAGTAGAAATATTTCCCATTTTCTGTGATACAAATTTCCCGTTTTCTATGATAATCTACTTTGGAAAATATGGTAATATTTCCCCAAAAGTCGATCATCTACTTCCATGAAAAGTCGATAATCTACTTTCCAGAAAAGTAGATAATCTACTTTTCGGGAAAGTAGATATTTCACATTTTCTGATACAAATTTCCTGTTTATGATAATCTACTTGGAAAATATATATTTCAAACTCGATACACTTCCTAGAAAAGTCGATAATCTACTCTTGAAAAGTAGATAACCCATTTTCAGGAAAGTAGATAACCAACTTTCCCGGAAAGTAGATATTTCGCATTTTGATACAAATTTCCATTTTATGATAAGTAGATAACCAACTTCTAGAAAGTAGAAATATTTCACATTTTCTGTGATACAAATTCGTTTTCTATGATAATCTACTTTGGAAAATATGGCAATATTTCAAAAGTCGATAATCTACTTCCATGAAACGTCGATAATCTACTTTCCAGAAGTAGATAATCTACTTTTGAAAAAGTAGATAACCAACTTTCCCGAAAGTAGATATTTCCCATTTTCTATGATACAAATTTCCGTTTTTTATGATATAGATAACCAACTTTCCCAGAAAGTAGAAATATTTCACATTTTATACAAATTTCCGTTTTCTATGATAATCTACTTTGGAAAAATGTTAATATTTCAAAAGTCGATAATCTACTTCCACGATATCTACTTCCAGAAAGTAGATAACTTTGATATTTCATTTATGACAAATTTCCATATTTATGATAAGTAGATAACAACTTTCCCAGAAAGTAGAAATATTTCACATTTTCTGTGATACAATTTTCCTTTGATAATCTACTTTGAAAATATGGTAAATTTCTGAAAGTCGATCATCTACTTCCATGATAATTCAGTTTCCAGAAAGTAGATAATCTACTTGAGGTAGATAACCAACTTTCCGGAAAGTAGATATTTCCCATTTTCTATGATACAAATTTCCCTGTTTTTATGATAAGTAGATAACCAACTTTCCCAGAAAGTAGAAATATTTCACATTTTCTGTGATACAAATTTCCGTTTTGATAATCTACTTAAAATATGTTAATATTTCCAAAAGTCGATAATCTACTCCATGAAAAGTCGATAATCTACTTTCCAGTAGATAACCAACTTTCCGGAAAGTAGATATTTCACATTTTCTGATACAAATTCCTTCATGATAATCTACTTTGGAAAATATATTTCCCCAACTAAGGTGCGTGGTAACTGGTTCTGGTGTGGTTCACAAAGTCTCCATATCCTCTACATCATCTCCAGTCCCTCCACACAGTCTCCAGTCCCTGCACACCGTCTCCAGTCCCTCCACACTGTCTCCAGTCCGTCCACACAGTCTCCAGTACCTCCACACCGTCTCCAGTCCCTCCACACTGTCTCCAGTCCGTCCACACAGTCTCCAGTACCTCCACACAATCTCCAATCTCCACACATTCTCCAGTCCCTCCACACAGTCTCCATTCCCTCCACAGAGTCTCCAGTCCCTCCAAACAGTCTCCAGTCCCTCCACACAGTCTCTAGACCCCACAGTCTCCAGTCCTCCACACAGTCCCAGTACCTCCACACAGTTTGCAGTCCCTCCACACAGTCTCCAGTCCTCCACACCGTCTCCAGTCCCTCCACACTGTCTCCAGTCCCTCCACAGAGTCCCAGTCCTCCACACCGTCTCCAGTCCCTCCACATAGCCCAGTCCCTCCACACAGTCTCCAGTCCCTCCACACTGTCTCCAGTCCTCCACACCGTTCCAGTCCATCCACACCGTCCCAGTCCTCCACATAGTCTCCAGTCCCTCCACACCGTCTCCAGTCCGTCCACACTGTCTCCAGTCCTCCACACGTCTCCAGTCCCTCCACACAATCTCCAATCCCACAAACAGTCCCAGTCCCTCCACACAATCTCTCCAGTCCCTCCACACCGTCCCCAGTCCATTCACACCGTCTCCAGTCCCTCCACACAGTCTCCAGTCCCTCCACATAGTCTCCAGTCCCGCCACACCGTCTCCAGTCCCTCCACACTGTCTCCAGTCCTCCATCGTCACCAAACCCTCTACACAGTCTCCAGTTCCTCCACACCGTCTCCAGTCCATCCACACCGTCTCCAATCTCCTCCACACTGCCTCCAGTCCCTCCACATCGTCACCAATCCTCTACAGCCCAGTCCCGCCACACCGTCTCCAGTCCCAGTCCCTCCACACTCTTTAGTCCCTCCACACAGTCTCGAGTCCCTCCACATAGTCTCCAGTCCCGCCACACCGGCTCCAGTCCCTCCACACTGTCTCCAGTCCCTCCACAACGTCACCAATCCCCACAGTCTCCAGTCCCACACCGTCTCCAGTCCCTCCACACCGTCTCCAGTCCCTCCACACTGTCTCCAGTCTCTCCACATCGTCACCAATCCCCCACACAGTCTCCAGTCCCGCACACCGTCTCCAGTCCCTCCACACGTCTCCAGTCCCTCCACACTGTCTCCAGTCCCTCCACATCGTCACCAACCTCTACACAGTTTCCAGTCCCGCCACACCGTCTCCTGTCCCTCCACACCGTCTCCAGTCCCTCCACACTGTCTCCAGTCCCACATCGTCACCAATCCCCACACAGTTTCCAGTCCCGCCACACCGTCTCCAGTCCCTCCCCACATCACCAACCCTCACACAGTCTCCAGTCCCGCCACACCGTCTCCAGTCCCGCCACACCGTCTCCAGTCCCTCCACATCGTCACCAATCCCTCCACAGTCTCCAGTCCTGCCACACTGTCTCCAGTCCGTCCACACAGTCTAGTCACTCCACACCGTCTCCAGTCACCCAACACTGTCTCCGGTCCGTCCACACTGTCTCCAGTCCTCCCATTCGTCACATCCCCACACAGTCTCCAGTCCTGCCACACCCCCAGTCCCTCCACACCGTCTCCAGTCCTCCACACTGTCTCCAGTCCCTCCACACGTCACCAATCTCTAAACAGTCTCCAGTCCCGCCACACCGTCTCCAGTTCCGCCACTGCTCAGTCCCGCCACACCGTCTCCAGTCCCTCCACATCGTCACTCCCCCACACAGTCTCCAGTCCTGCCACACTGTCTCCAGTCCGTCCACACAGTCTCCAGCACCTCCACACTGGTTCCACACTGTCTCGGTCCGTCCACACTGTCCAGTCCTTCCACACCAATCCCCTACAGTCTCAGTCCCACACACCGTCTCCAGTCCCTCCACACTGTCTTCAGTCCCTCCACACACTGAGTCCTCCACATCGTCACCAACCCCCACACAGTCTCCAGTCCCACACCGTCTCCAGTCCCGCCACACCGTCTCCAGTCCCTCCAGTCCTCCACACGTCTTCCAGTCCGTCCACACAGTCTCCAGTCCTTCACACGTCTCAGTCGCTCCACACTGTCTCCAGTCCGTCCACACACTCCAGTACCTCCACACCGTCTCCAGTCCTCCACACTGTCTCCAGTCCCTCCACACAGTCTCCAGATCCTCCACACCCTCCAAACCCCCACACAGTCTCCAGATCCTGCACACAATCTCCATTCCCCACACCGTCTCCAGTCCCTCCACACCGTCTCCAGTCCTCTACACAACTCCAGTCTCCACATAGCTCCAGTCCCTCCACACTGTCCCAGTCCCTCTACACAATTTCAGTCCCTCCACATAGTCTCCAGTCCTCCACCCGTCTCAATCCCTCCACACAGTCTCCAGTCCCCACACAATCTCCAGTCCCTCTACACAATCTCCAGTCCTCCACACAGTCTCCAGTCCTTCTACACAATTCCAGTCCCTCCACCCCGTCTCCAGTCCATCCACACCGTCTCCAGTCCCACACGATGTTTCCAGTCCCTGCACACAGTCTCCACATCTCCACACCGTCCCAGTCCTCCACACACTGTCTCCAGTCCGTCCACACCGTCCCAGTCCCCTCACACAATCTCCAGTCCCTCCACACCGTCTCCAGTCCATCCACCGTCTCCAGTCCCCTCTACACACCCAGTCCCTCCACATAGTCTCCAGTCCCTCCACACCGTCTCCATTCCCCACACAATCTCCAATCTCTCCAAACAGTCTCCAGTTCTCCACACAGTCTCCAGTCCATCCACACAGTCTCCAGTGCCTCCACAAAGTCTCCAAACCTCCATATCGTCTCAGTTCCTCCACACGTCTCCACCTCCCACCGTCTCAAACCCTCCAACCGTTCCAGTCCCTGCACACAGCCGCCAGTCCTCTACACAATCTCCAATCTCTCAAACAGTTCCAGTCCCTCCACACAGCTCCAGTCCCTCCACACAGCCGCCAGTCTCTCCACACAGTCTCCAGTCCCCTACACAATCTCCAATCTCTTCTCCAGTCCCTCCACACCGTCTCCAGTCCCTCCACACAGCCGCCAGTCCCTCCACACAGCAGGCCAGTCCCTCCACACGACCACCAGTTCCTCCACACAGCGCCAGTTCTCTCCACATAGCCAGGCCCTCCACACCGTCTCCAGTCCTCCACACAGTCTCACAAACAGCCACCAGTCCTCCACGTAGCCACCAGTCCCACCACACCGTCCCAGTTCCTCCACACAGCCACCAGTCTCACACAGCCACCAGTCCTCCACACCGTCTCCAGTCTTCACACCGTCTCCAGTCCCTTCACACCGTCTCCAGTCCCTCCTCCGTCTCCAGTCCCTCCACCGTCTCCAGTCCTCCACACCGTCTCCAGTCCTCCACACCGTCTCCAGTCCTCCAACTGTCTCCAGTCCCTGCACTCCGGCTCCAGTCCCTCCACACTGTCTTTAGCCCCTCCACCCGTCTCCAGTCCTCCATACCTGTCTCCAGTCCCTCCACACAGCCACCAGTCCCTCCACCCCGTCTCCAGTCCCTCCCCAACAGCCAGCAGTTCCTCCACTCCGTCTCCAGTTCCTCCACACCTCCAGTCCCTCCACACCGTCGCTAATCCCTCCACACAACCTCCAGTCCTCCACAAAGCCACCAGTCCCTCCACACCGTCTTCAATCCCTTCCAACAGTCTCAGTCCTCCACACAGCGCTAGTCCTTCCACACCGTTCCAGTCCCTCCACACAGCCACCAGTCCCTCCACAATCTCCAGTCCTCCACACAACCACCGTCCTCCACACCGTCTCCAATCCTCCAGTCCCTCCACACTGTCTCCAGTCCCTCCACACCGTCTTCCATCCCTTCAAACAGTCTCCAGTCCCTCCACACAGCAGCCAGTCCCTCCACACCGTCTCCAGTCCCTCCACACAGCCACCAGTCCCTCCACACACCCAGTCCTCCACACAACCACCAGTTCCTCCACACACCTCCAGTCCCTCCACACAGCCACAGTTCCTCACACCGTCTCCAATCCCTCCAGTCCTCGACTCCGTCTCCAGTCCCTCCACAAAGCCACCAGCCCTCCACACCGTCTCCAGTCCTCCACAGCCACCAGTCCTCCACACCGTCTCCAGTCCTCCACACAGCCTCCAGTCCCTCCACACCGTCTCCAGTCCCTCCACACAGCCAAGTCCTCCACACCGTCTCCAGTCCCTCCACAGCCACCAGTCCCTCCACACCGTCTCCAGGCCCTCCACACAGCCACCAGTCCTCCCACACCGTCTCCAGTCCCTCCACACCGTCTCCAGTCCCTCCACACCGTCTCCAGTCCCTCCACACCGTCCCAGTCCTACCACACTGTCACCAGTCCCTCCACACAGTCTCAAAACAGCCACCAGTTTCTCCACACACAGCCAGTCCTCCACACAGCCGCCAGATCCTCCACATAGCCGCAGCCCTCCACATAGTCTGCACTCCTCCACACGATCTGCACTCCTCCACAGTCTGCACTCCTCTACAATCTGCATCCTCCACACAGTCTGCACTTCCTCCACATAGTCTCCAGCCCCTCCACACAGTCTGCACTCTCCACACAGTCTGCACTCCTCTCCACACACTCCAGCCCCTCCACACCTGCACTCCTCCACACAGTCTGCACTCCCTCCACACAGTCTGCACTCTCTCCACATAGTCTCCAGCCCCTCCACACGATCTGCACTCCCTCCACACAGTCTGCACTCTCCACATATTCTGCAGGCCCTCCACACAGTCTGCACTCCTCCACATAGTCTCCAGCCCCTCCACAGCCCTGCACTCCCTCCGCACAGTCTGCACTTCCTCCACATAGTCTCCAGCCCCTCCACAGATACACTCCCTCTCACAATATGCACTCTCCACACAGTCTGCACTCCTCCACACAGTTTACACTCCCATCTACCCTGTACTCCTCCGCACTGTCTGCACTTCCTCCACACAGTCGCACTCCTCCACACAGTCTGCACTCTCCACACATTCTGCACTCCCTCCACATAGTCTCCAGCCTCCTCACACAGTCTGCACTCCTCCACACACCTGCACTCCTCCACACCCTGCATCCCTCCACACAGTCTGCACTCCCTCCACACAGTCTGCACTTACCTACAGAAGGGACACCTGTTGGGGGAGACACACACCTGTGAGGGAGAGACACACACCTGTGGGGGGAGGAGACACCTGTTAGGGAGAGACACACACCTGGAGGGGGAGAGACACACACCTGTGAGGGAGAGACACACACACCTGTGAGGGAGACACACACCTGTGAGGAGAGACACACACCTGTGAGGGGAGAGAGAAACCTGTGAGGGAGAGACACACCTATGAGGGGGAAACACACACCTGTTAGGGGAGAGAGACACCTGCGGAGGGGGGAGAGACACCTGCGAGGGGGAGACACACCTGTTAGGGGGAGAGACACCGGATGTGGGGAGAGAGACACCTGTTAGGGAGAGACACCTGTTAGGGGAGAGAGACACCTTGGAGAGGGAGAGAGACACCTTTAGGGGGAGAGAGACACCTGTGAGGGGAGATACCTTTGAGGGGAGAGAGACCTGTGAGGGGGAGATACACTGTGAGGGGGGGAGAGAGAGACACCTGTTAGGGGGAGAGAGACACCCAGTAGGGGGGAGAGACACTGTGAGGGGGAGAGAGACACCTGTGAGGGGGGGAGAGAGGCACCTGGAGGGGGAGAGAGACACCTTTGAGGGGAGAGACACCTGGGGGGAGAGACACCTGTTAGGGGGGAGAGACACCTGTGAGGGGGAGAGAGACAGCTGTTAGGGGGAGAGAGACACCTGTGAGGGGAGAGAGACACCTGTGAGGGGGAGAGACACCTGTGAGGGGAGAGAGACACCTGTGAGGGGGGAGAGAGACACCTGTTAGGGAGAGAGACACCTGAGGGGGAGATACACCTTGAGGGGGAGAGACACCTGTGGGGGGGGAGAGAGACACCTGTGAGGGGGGAGATACACCTGTGAGGGGGAGAGAGACACCTGTGAGGGGGAGATACACCCTTGAGGAGGGAGAGACACTGTGAGGGGAGAGACACCTGTGAGGGGGGGGACACCTGTGAGGGGGGAGATACACCTTGAGGAGGAGAGACACCTGTGGGAGGGGGAGGGGGGAGAGAGACACCTGTGAGGGGGAGATACACCTTGAGAGGGAGAGAGACACCTGAGGGGGGGAGACACACCCTGGGGGAGGAGACACCTGTGAGGGGGAGATACACCTGAGGGGAGAGAGACACCTGTGTGGGGGAGAGAGACACCTGAGGGGGAGAGAGGACACCTGTGTGGGGGAGAGAGACCTGTGGGGGAGATACACCTGGAGGGGGGAGAGGGCACCTTTGAGGGGAGAGAACCTGGGGGAGATACACCTTGAGAGGAGAGACACCTGTGAGGGGAAGAGACACCTGTGAGGGGGGAGACACCTGTGGGGGAGAGGACACCTGTGTGGGGGAGAGAGACACCTGTGGAGGGGAGAGAGACACCTGTGGGGAGAGAGACACCTGTGAGGGGGGAGATACACCTGAGGGGGGAGATACACCTTGTGAGGGAGAGAGACACCTGTGAGGGGAGATACACCTGTGAGGGGGGAGAGATAACCTGTGAGGGGGAGATACACCTGTGAGGGGAGACACTGTGAGGGGGGAGATACACCTGTGAGGGGGAGAGAGACACCTGTGTGGGGGAGAGAGACACCTGTGTGGGGGAGAGAGACACCTGTGTGGGGGGAGAGAGACACCTGTGGGGGGGAGATACACCTTGAGGGGGGAGAGAGACACCGTGTGGGGAGAGAGACACCTGTGTGGGGAGAGATACACCTGTGAGGGGAGATACACCTTTGAGGGGGAGAGACACCTGTGGGGGAGAGAGACACCTGTGAGGGGGAGATACACCTTTGAGGGGGGGAGAGAGACACCTGTGTGGGGGAGAGAGACACCTGTGTGGGGAGGAGGCACCTTTGAGGGGGAGAGGACACCTGTGTGGGGGAGAGAGACACCTGTGGGGGGAGAGAGACACCTGTGAGGGGGGAGATGCACCTTGAGGGGGGAGGAGAGACACCTGTGTGGGGGAGAGAGACACCTGTGTGGGGAGAGATAACCTGTGAGGGGGAGATACACCTGTGAGGGGGGAGAGACACCTGTGTGGGGGAGAGAGACACCTGTGAGGGGGGAGATACACCTTTGAGGGGGAGAGAGACACCTGTGTGGGAGAAGAGATCACCTGTGAGGGAGGAGACACCTGTGAGGGAGACACCTGTGGGGGAGAGAACACCTGTGGGGGAGACACCTGTGGGGAGAGAGACACCTGTGGGGAGGCACCTTTGAGGGGGGCACTGTGGGGAGACACCTGTGAGGGGGAGACACCTGTGGGGAGAGAGACTGTGAGGGAGAGCACCTGTGAGGGAGACACCTGTTGGGGAGAGAGACACCTGTGAGGGGGAGATACACCTTTGAGGGAGAGACACCTGTGGGAGAGGGTACTGTGGAGACACCTGTGAGGGGAGATACACCTGTGAGGGGAGATGCACACCTGTGAGATGCACGAGGAGAGACACCTGTGACGGGGAGAGACACCTGTGGGGAGATACACCTGAGGGGGTCACCTGTGGGGAGAGAGACACCTGTGAGGGGAGATGCACCTTTGGGGGAGAGAGACTGCCTGTGTGGGAGAGAGACACCTGTTGGGGAGAGAGACACCTGTGAGATACACCTTTGAGAGAGAGACACCTGTGAGGGAGAGGGAGACACCTGTGAGGGGAGATACACCTGTGAGGGGGAGATTCACCTGTGAGGGGAGACACCTGTGAGGGGAGATACACCTTTGAGGAGGGACACCTGTGAGGAGAGGAACACCTGTTGGGGATACACACCTGTGGGGGAGACACACACCTGTGGGGAGACACACACCTGTGAGGGGAGAAACACACCTGTTGGGGAGAGAGACACCTGTTAGGTTAGGTTACTTAGGTTGGAGGTTTGGTTAAATTAGGTGAACAGAGAGAGTTGTCCGTCTCTCCCGACAGACAGGCTTCAAGTTTTGCTGACACCGACCCGCTACAAGGTCCCTCAAGGCGTATCACCGCACCTTTACGGTCTAGACGCCTCTAATTATAGGTGTTCGTGAACCTGTAACCGATTATATGATTAGTCCTAGCTGGGATTATGCCTCCATGGTCCTAGATGGGATTATACGCCTCCATGGTCCTAGCTGGGATTATATGCCTCCATGGTCCTAGATGGGATTATACGCCTCCATGGTCCTAGCTGGGATTATATGCCTCCATGGTCCTAGATGGGGTTATACGCCTCCATGGTCCTAGCTGGGATTATATGCGTCCATTGTGCTAGCTGGCATTATATGCCACCATGATCCTAGCTGGGATTACATGCCTCCATGATCCTAGCTGGGGATACATGCCTCCATGATCCTAGCTGGGATTACACGCCTCCATGGTCTAGCTGGGATTACATGCCTCCATGGTGGAGGGTAGTGGGAGGGGGTAGTGGAGGAGGGAGTGGAGGTAGTGGAGAGGGAGGTGAGTGGAGGAGGGTAGTGGAGGAGAGGAGTGGAGGAGGTG